GAATAAGGTGGTTGGAAGTTTTCAGCCTGTAGCGTGATTCTTATTCCATTATTCTGATCGAAAGATTGCTGGGGGTTGCTTTCTCCATAAAAGTTCTGGTAATCCAAGATATTTCAGTAATTCTATTCCAATAATTTTAATACTTTTAGTCATTGTAATAATTCGAGTGATTCTAGTCGTTATAATAATTTTAATAATTCATTGCTTTATTTTTTTGCTGTAATGTTTAAGCGTCGTAAGAGGTTAAGGCAATTTATACATATTACATTTTGAGTAATTCAGAAAGTATAGCAATTTATTTGCAGCAGGTTAGGTTAGTGTTAAGTTGAGGTTAAGTTAAGATTCAAGTTAAGTTTAGGTTAGTTAGATTCTAGATTAAGTTAGGTATATTTAAACTTACACACTAATCAACTTATAAGTTATAATTTAAAATTATGTAAGTTGTCAGTATATCGTTTTTATCTAGATTTCTTTCAACTTAATTATGAAAATAGTCAACAATGCTTTACACGCTGAAGTCATCGTCGCACGCGGTATAAAAATCAAAATGGCGTCATAGAGCAGGTTATAGACGTTCAAACATACAAAATATTTTACAATTACTATATTTAACTATTAATATGAAACTTATACTCATTTTTAAATTTAGCAATAATTTAAATAATTTTAATTTTAAATAATTTTAAAGAATATTTACAACATATAAATTAATGACTATTACCAATAAGTATATTAATTATGTTATTCACATTTAACTAAGTTTCCACATTTCGACAGACAAATATAAAAATAATTTTTCATCAACCAACTCTGTTTTTTTATTTAGCAAAAAATCATGTAAAAAATATTTTATTCTATCTTAAGATAATGATAAAATTATTTTTGCTTCAGTTTGATTACCAACGTAAATTTTTTATTAAATACCTCGATTATTCTCTAAATTTAAAGAAGTTAAAGCGAGTTCACGTCAATCATACGTCGAATCAATATGTCATCCGTTTTAAATCTTTAAAGAACCGCCGTGCTAAGATTGATAAATGGGAATGAAGAACGCGAGAGGAAGGGAGAAAGTGACAAGGGAAATACATCGAGGAACGAAGAGAAATACGACCGATCCATTTGAAAAAAACGCATTATGCTGGTCGGTCTCGTTACAGGGGTTGTAAATAAAAACTCCGCTGCTCGTATCTGCATTTCAACCACACCCTGGGCCATTTGCATCTCATTTCGAACGTTATATCAGTTTCATTAACGAAGTGGAACAGTGGATTGCCGTTCCATCGATTACACGTGGTTCGTTTAGTTTTCTGTATACAATGTGTTAAAGTCAAATTTATCCTAACAAACAGTTCCCTCCCCTTTATTGGATTATCAACGGTTTGGTTTTGTACCATATCGTGTACGACCTACGATAATTACATGTAATCATTGGTAAAAACCTTTTTAAACACACCAAAGATAATGGACTTTACAAATATTTGCAAATGATTCTTTGCACACACTTTCCATTACGTAGTTTGAAATTTCACGTAATTCCTGTGTAGAGTTGAAAGCAAATTTGCCTTTTATAAAAATAGGATTTACATGGGAATTTGGAAATTTTGGTGATTGGGGATTTATGGGTAGAGAGATCTGGGGATTTTGGGGTTTAAGAATTTGGGGAATTTGGAAATCTAGAAGTATAGAAATATATGGACGAGAAGTTTAAGGAACATGGAATTTGGAACTTTAAGGATTTACATAGGAATTTGAATATTTTGGAGTTTGGGGATTTATGGATATAGAAATCTAGGGTTTTTGGGGTTTAAGAATTTAAGGAATTTGGAAATGTAGAGATATAGAAATATATGAGACGAGGAGTTTGAGAAACTTGGAATTTGGAAATCTAACGATTTAGATAGGAATTTGGAAATTTTGGAGTTTGGGAATTTATGGATTTAGAAATCTGGGGACTTTGGAGTTTAAGAATTTGGGGAATTTGGAAATCTAGAGGTATAAAAATATATGGGACGAGGAGTCTGAGGAACGTGGAATTTGGAAATTTAGGGACATGGAAGTTTAGTTATTTGGACGTCAAGAAAGTGAAGGATGTGGAGATTTAGGAGTATAGGACTTTGAAGAGCTTGGGATTTGGGAATTTAGAAATATGGAAATTATGGGATAGTCTAAAAATTTAGGAGCCTAAGAATTCGAGAAGCTTGGAACTTGGGAATTCACAGATTTGAAAATATAAGAATTTAGGGGTCTAGGAATTCATGAAACTTGAGATTTGGGAATTTAGAGATATAAGAATCCAGGTATTTGAAAGTCCAGAAATTTGAATATATAGAAATTTAGAAGTTCAGAACCTTGAAGTCCTAGAACCTAAAGGTATAGGAATTTAGGGAATTTTGCTGTACATTTTTCTTTATTTTTACGAACAGAATGTGTACACCCTGTAAATAACGCATTATCTTTGATATCTCTATTTGAGGATATCACACTGTGATTCCAAAATCGTTAATCTTTTTTTAATTGCGTTTAGTAGCATGCCGTATCAGGGATATCATCTGCGTAGTACCTTGATTATACCATACTTTACATATCAAAGGCATACATGTCAACATCTACGTACATATTTAAGTTTTTGCATATCAAATGATAGATCTTGGACACGGTAAGTCTGTCATAATTTGATAGCATAATAGTAACATAAAGTAGCATTCATACTATATAAATTTGAATCCTGAAGTTTGATATCTTTTAAGTCGTTGTCGATGTCTTTCATATAAAATGACTAATTGTCAGTGATAACAAAATACATGTATGATACATGTTTATAATCATTAAAAATTGCCAATTATGTGACAATAAAATAATAACCATAATTGTTCAATTTATTGTTAATCGTTTATATAATGATTATTTATATTCAAATTTAAATAATAATTTATATAATAAATTAAGTAATCTACAGAAATAACGATACAATTTTTATTACATTTATTTCTCCTCGTATTTTTATTAAGGACTCCTATTGCATATCTATGTAATTACTACGTAGAACATTGTTGTTTGATTTTTAACTTTTAACATATTGTCAAAACACATTTTTAATTTTTAAAACATTTTAATATATTGTTTTCTGATATAGTATATTGTCTTCTAACATCTTTATCAGATTTTAATATATTGTCTTCTAATATAATATACCGTCTTCTAACATCTTTATCACTTCTTAATATATTGCATTTTGATTGTTCCATGAAAACCGGATTATTCACACTTGATTCTTCCTTTTCGATTGCATTTAGTCATTTCGTCCAAAAGAGCCCACGACTATTAAACGTATCACGTGATTGTCCGAGTATCACCGAACAGAGACGAAATTACCCGATCTACCACTACTCCGTTTACCGCGAATCTTATTACAGTAAAGCCTCGATATAAGTGAGGTTCTTGATATTATAAGTAAATATGTTTCGAATTACGTCGTGTTTAGTCTCATTTTAATTAAAAAAATATAACAAATATGTTGCTACAAGTTACTTAACAAAAATGAACATTCCAATATCAGAAAAAGTAAGATATATATTGTTTTTTTCGATAAATTTAGTAAGACAAATCAAGTTCGGCATTGCCTCTAAACAGGCATCAGCTTCAAGCTTGCAAATTAGCAAATTTCTATCCCACTTCTTTGTTCTTCTAAAGTCGGTTACGGAGTAAGAGATCCGAGACAGAGTGAGAGGTCCGTGAAACCGAAGAACAAAATTTTTACGGTTGACTAAACAGTTTAGTGAAAACAAGACACAACATGTATATTATTTTCTTACTCCAACACATAACGATTCAAGAGCAAAAGCAATTTGAATAGCATACCACCTTCGAAATAAACAACTGACCGACTAGGTTGTTTATTTCGAGACAATACCATGTTAACCGAGAGATGTTTGTTTACAAGTGTTAACCTCTTTCCGTGCTTTGACGAGTCTCACTCGTGACGCACTTACTGCTCAAATGTGACAAACCTTACTCAAATTTTGAATACTCTTCAACTTGAAATCCAACTTCAACTTGAAGGTCCAACTATGAGTTGCATTATCAAGGATCCCTCAATATAAAGTACACAGAAAATTTTAATTTTCTTGTCCGTTTTAATGTTATAGCGTTGGTGTTGACTGACGCATCTGATAAATAAATGAAACAGGAAGGGGTTCAACGTTGGCATACGTTTAACCATCCCTTATTTCACCGTCATCCCAAACGGCGCCTCTGAATAGTAGTGCAAAGGTCCGATCGTAAGCAACTCCCTTATGACAATTAAACGTTGGTCAAACGTGCACCGGAATTACAGGGGTGCGAAGGGTGCTTTTTCAAGGGAGCGACGCGGGCGTGAAGCGGCGCGATCGGACGCTGCGAGAACACGCGAACAGCGAAGAGGAAGCGGGCTGTTCGAAAACGGCGAAGGAAGAAGCGTAAAAGCCGAGGGGTGCAGGTAGTTGCACGTGGAGGCGGAGCGACGCCGCGCATCGCGTCAAGCTAGCGACGCCGGGCGTCCTGCCCCCAAAGCGTCGGGTGGGGAGTCGTGGCGAACGCAGTTCTCGACGGGTCGCCGAGAAGGTGTAACGGTATTGTCGTTGTCGGCTGCGAATGCCGGTGAGTCGTTCGGAAAGCCACGTGATCGTTTCGCCGGTGTTGCAAATCGCTCGTCCTTTGTTCCTCGGTGGATCACCGACAAAATAGTGTCCTTAGTTCCATATTTTGCGGAGTTCGTGTTCGCGGACCGTGTCTGTCGAAAAATAATGCTAATTCTCGAACCAGTTGCTCCGTTTTGAATTTGTACGCGCGTTTTTGCTTTTGATCTACACGAATGTGAATTGGTGCGTTTTTGCCTGAGAGTGAAAAGGCACGCGTCGGTCAACAGCCGTAAATTTGATTGAGTCACAAGACATGCGTTCTTTCAGTTCTCGTATGGTTAGTCTGTAACTTGGACATGAACGCAGTTAACGACACGTGTTTTTTTGTGTGATCGTGGACCGCGTGCAGTGTCTAAGGTGATCAAGGTGCATCGGGAACCTATTAAGGGATAAGAATGATACTGCTGGTGTAGGAGCTGGAATTCGGGATTTTCAAGATCGAGGAGCTGTTCCATAAGGTAAGTTTCGACTTTTATTTTCTTGACGTTGCGATTCAGTCGTGGCTCGTGTCATCATATTCCAATTACAATTTGAAAATTTAATATCGGAGCTTCTTATCGTATTCTCTGATTAGCTTGAGACTATTTAGTATTATTATAGACTATTATTTAGTAATAATTGAATAAAAAAATATTGTTAAGAAATTATCAATATTTTAAAATTTCGATGTATTGGAAAAACTAAAACGTGCTGTCTAATAAGAAATTATTAGAGTCGTGTTCGTGAACCGTTATGCGACAAGGGGTTAAATTTTCTCCTTTGGATTAATTCTTAAAATATGCATCGTTCGCTTGCTGCAACAAATACGCAGTTTCTGAGTTATCAATATGCAATGAATGGTACTTGTGCTTTTTACTGGTAAAGTCTTGGCAAGTTTTTACGTATGAACACATGGGGGTAGTTTTTGTATAACGTCCCAACAGAGCGCTTCAAAATATTTAAATCCGTTTTGCTGAAAATACTGATTTTTTATTCAAATCATTTTACTGGAAAAGACCTGTAAAATTGTAAGAATCATAGATCTTAATTACGGAAACAATTATTCAGGTAAACGGTTAGGTTAAACGACCACTGAAACGTTGACTGCCATGCTGTTTACCAGTGAGCGACGCTGCAGTCAGCCGAATTAATTATTTAAGGGAAAAACAGAAAAAAACTTTCAACAGCTTTTAATACTGGGTCAGTGGTATATCAGAAGATGAAATTGAATGTTTAATTGCTTTCGTATTAATTTATAATATGACCTCAAATTGTCGGTTATCAATTTCATAGGTGACCTGTCGACTTCTCTATTAGAAGCTAGTATAATTGATTTTATTTTTTGTGACTACATAAATAATTTAAAATTTAAAAATATGATTTATTAAAGAAAATCTGATGGTGATTGGAATAAAATATTTTATTTAAATGGGTGCACATAGTTTAAAGAACTACCTCATTTTATCTAAGATTTTAATTAACATTGAATAAATAAAATATTAAAATTAAACATAATAACACATGTTGCAGTAAAACTCTTAATTTGTTGAATGTATCCAACAAGACATAAATTTTTACATTAAAACGTACGTATTTATTTTAATTTATATAAATGAATGTTTGTAAATTTCTGAACCAAAGTGTTAATAAATTTTCATTTCCACTTTTTAAATATACACGAAAAAATGTATGTAATATCATACTTTAATGTAACTGTTTATGTGAATATATTTACATACTAATAATAATCGATATTTTTATATTTAATCGACACTGCTGTTAAAATACATTTTAATATAACATGTACAAGCGTATTGATCTACCATTTTGGTTGAAATATTGTTGGTACAAATTGTGATTGACTGATATTTGTAGAAAGAGTTTCAAATGTAATTTCTCGAATGTTAAGAATCTTTTTTATAAATTTAAGTGGTAGACTAGTAATTATAGTTTACAAGTTTTTCTAATGATATTTCATTTCTTTTTCGTAAATATTTTTGATGGAAATTATGACATTTACTCGTGTGTTTTTCTTGTTATTCAATAAACTTTAAATATTTCAAACACGTGCTCACATTCGAGTTAAAAAAATATTATATTATTATAAAACTATTAGTAGATCTACAAAGTATTATAAATTTCATATTGTTTATTACATTTATTATTTATGTTTCTACAAAAACGTTACATTTCAATTGAACAGCTTTGCGAAAGCGTTTTATAAACACATTCAACTGATTTAATACAAACGAATAAACACGTAATGTAACTTTTCAAATCATCAGATCGTTTATTGTCAATGTACACGTATAATACTTAAAACTTTGGGAGGGTAAATAACTTTTTTAGAAGAGGAAGTAGTAAAAACTTTATAGAATCATTTCCCACGCCGTGAACTTTTCATATCAAAGCTTTAATCGCTCCAACTTTTCCTGTTTCTTTTCAAATGTTCAATACAGAGATATGCGCAAAAGATTGCAAAGTTTGATTGTTTACCACTTTTTTTTCCTGAGAAAAGATCTGTTGAATGTCAGTATTATTCTCGTATGTTGTCAAAATTTAGATAAGAATAGATTTAGTGTTTTTGTAATTTTTAAGAAAGTTATTTTTGAAATTTTCAAATCGAGGAAAACTGCATTGTTAATTTGTCTGATTTTGTTTTCATTAAAGCAGAGCTAGATCATAGATTAATTTTAAAAATTAAAATTAAAAGTTGTATATAAATATGGACACAAAATTCAATTTAGCGATAGTCATAGCAGCTAGTTCAAATTATTTGTTCTCACAAAGGATAAACAACTATTGCTACTAAATTTTGTTACATTGTTAAAAGTGTGCTAAATATAACGATTTGGTATAATTTAAAAATAAAATAAATTTAGACCGTCAAGTTATCAGTAATTTGAAGTAATTTGAACAACATTATTATAATAATTTCATTAATATATTGTAATAATTTGAACAATTTTAACTCTGTTATTTCAATTTCTAATATCAACAATATTTCTTCAACTTCTAATATTAACACATTAATATCCGCCTACTAAACGTCGTTAGGTTCCGGCAATATTTTTGAAGAATTACTTTAAAGAAGCTCTATGTAAATTCACGAACTAATTCAACGTGTACGAACATAGTCATAAAGCAAACAAAAACAACAATTTCGACAAATTTAATATTTTCTTTTGTGTGATGATTATTAAAGCAACCACCTACGTTCATCAATCGTCACACACGTGTGAGCGGCCATCAAAGCATTAATATTTTTTCAACTTCTAAAGTTACCAATTACTTCACTACTTAACGATTTACCCCTGCAAACTAGTCAAATATATTTTCTAAACGAATGAAACGTTTATCTCTAACTTCACAGTACACGATTTTTATTCCAAACTTTGTATTTCCAAATGCAGGCAGTTTCACACGTATTCGTCGCACGATTCAACGCAGTAAATTTTTGCGATATCGTTATCGCAAAGGATCAAGGAAAAAATGGCTGATAAATTCGTCGGTAAAAAATACTGTATACAATTTTTCCCGGTGTAACACCATAAAGTAATTTAATCCGTCAATTCATATCGGATCTTTATCGGGTGCAGCATGCATTGACCCATCATTCGTCACGGGACACTGTTACAGATATTGAAACAATTTTACTGATACATGACCATAAACTTTAAAGATTGAATCTATGTATTGCAACATGTACTATCAGGTGGTTTAACTACTCCCCTTGCTCCTAAATCACCGACGTTAAAACAGAAAAGAGAACGAAGGAAAGAGAAACGTTTCGAATACGTCGCGAAAAGTTCGGTTGATTGAAATTTACAGCTACTAAAACACATTTATAGCTTTCAAATAAAATTTGCTATGTTAGCTGTTTTCTCTCGGTATTAAATATCTCTTTCGGTTGCGATAGAATTCGCATCTTTGTTTCTTTCGATCAGTGATACAAATTGTCAGTTTTCAATGTTGATCATTTTTAGAAAGGCACAATATTTTTTGGAGTAAAATATTTCTTGCTGTATTTGTAATTTACTGGGTGTTAGAAATGAACAAATAAGGATGCTTTTCGTTCTTACATTATTATAATGATAATGATTATTATAATGTTATAATAATAATATTATAATGATAATAATTATTAGTCATTTTTGTATAAATTCATTAATGAAAAATTTTGACAAACTGTAAAAAATTTAATATTTAATTATGTAATTACAAATGTTAGAATACAACTTTCACCCGATTAAATTTAACCTTGTATTTTAATTAGATCGTATTAAATTTTGTACACATGCAGAAAGATTATACACTACGGAATGTTAGTAAGTCATTAATTTCTTGATTTAGAAAGTGTTCTGATGCAAATGGTCGCCGCATTGAACCTTTTCTGTAAATAGACATTAAAATTAAAATATCTCCTAAACTAATGATTTTTTCACATAAATAGATTAATACTTTTTTGTAAAGAATATGAAGGAGTATCAGCTGATGCAATAAAAAATATATGATTCCGTTTAAAAAAACATTAATGACCTTCATACGTCCTTTACACGTCCACCTACAAAAAAAATATACCACCAGCCTATGCCCCTCTCAAAACCATTCAACTTCATCTAAAACATTGTTTGCTATGAGTAATAATAATGACGCAAATCTAGATGGCAAAATGTGGTGAGCCAC